ATTTATAAATCTAGTTGTCGATCCTTGCTGCGGAGTCATAGAGAAGCATTCATGTGATTGGCTAATTTATGTCGATCAAACAGGTTATACTAATAATAGATTGTCATTGTTATTGTTACACCAAATTTGAAATGTGATTTTCTCGAAATAGAAAAAAAGCCATAAGCACCCTTTTAGTTGAACGGTCCCCATATGTGTTGTTTGTTTACTTATTGTTTTCTGTTAATTCTAAAAATAGTAATATGATCTGCTGTTTATTTATTTGTTTATTTTTTTGATCTTATGTGTTTTTATTTTGTTGTTGTTTATATGTTTTAAGATCAGATTTTTTGGGTCTTGGCAAATTCCCCAAAATTTTTTGAAAATTTTCTAAAAATTTATAAAAAATTTGTTGTTGCTAAACTAAAGGTCTTAAGTAAAAGCCTATTTTAATAAACTACTAGTTATTTTAAGTGCTCTTCCTTTTCTCTTAGTACAAGATACCTTGTTTCTTATACTAGATTTAGAAAAAATCATTGATTTTGATTTTGATTGATTAAAAATTGCAGATCAGCAGAAAGAGTATGTTGTTTTTGTTTTTATTAGATATTTTAGTAGTATATTCTTGATTAATTAGAGTACATTTAGCCACACATACAACTTTTGGTTGCTTATTTAAGTAGTTCACCTGAAGGTTCTATACTATATATTGTATCTATAATTTAACTAGGAGATTATTTATTTAAACTCTTTGATTTCTCCTGTCTTGCATTACCACCTCAATTACACTATCCCATAACTTTGTGCTGCTTCAATTAAAGACCACCCAGATTGACATATGCTATACTACTTGTGTTCTAATTCTATAGAAACTCAATAGAGTTTTTATACTACCAAATTATTTTAGAAAGATATAGTACATACTCTTTTAATCTTTCTATGTTTTATATATTTTCAGATTAAATTTCAAATACTTTTAACAGCAGCTGAAATCACTACTAGCAGTTAAAGCTAACCATTAAATTGCACAATTCTGATATTCATACCCTTACAAGGTTTATTCTGATCCTAATATCCACTTTAAACCAATCTTTATACCGATCTTTCCCAAATTATCAAACCAGTTAGCCTGGATGTGTCATTATACCTAAACTTTAAGTGCCTTTCAGTTTTACTTTTCTTGGTTCCTAATTTTATAGTATAAAACCTTTTCCTCCAGTATGACTTTGGCAGCCAGGTTGGAAGACCCTTTTTGCCCCAGAGTTTTCATCTAGTTCTTTGATCTCTGGCTGACAAATCTCTAATCTCTGCTACAATATTTCAGCTAAAGATTGGAACCATTTAACCATACATATGTACATATACAAGAAAAAAGATTCAGAAACAATTGTAGTATATTCTATAAATCGAGTATGGATTAGGGATTGGAACCGCCTAAAATTTTTCTTAATTGTTTAATCGTTTAACCGTTTAATTTGGCCGGCATTAAAATAATTCCAGCTCACGACCAACATAATTCCGCCCGGAACTATGGAGCAATTTTTAAACGTACGTACGTACGTATGCACTAATTTTTATAGTCACACAATTGCTTAGCCAAAGCAGAATTTGGGCGACCAGTTTCTAGGTAAATGATAGTTCCTAACTTAGCAAATGACATAATCATCGTGCAAATATTTGCTTTTAGAATATCATGTAATAGTAGAATTTGATCTCAAATCTCGTGTGACATTTGTTGGCCAATCACATTTGACAAAATCATCTGATATTATAGCCAATTAAAAAGAACCTCCATGCTCAAGAAATTATCAAAAAATGACGACCTTCCAAGACAACACTCAAGGTCTATTTACAATCAGTATACATATGTTTATTTTATTTTCAAACTGAAACTAAATCCTTTTTACATTAGATCAAATATCTACCAGTAATGATGCTTCAGAACAAGAAACCGTTGAAACAACTCCGAAATTCACACCGGAAGAAATTGAAAAATTAGTTGAATTGGCTAATTCTTATAAAGTAACAGGAAATGAATATTTTGCTAAGATGAAATACGATGAAGCTATTGTACAATATGAAAAGGCTTTAGATACCTGTCCGGACGAAAGGAAAGACGAACGAGCTATTTATTGGGGAAATCTTGGAGCATGTTATTTTAAATTGGTAATGTAAATGGTATGATTTGGAAAGAGATTTAGAATAAGAAGCTACAAAATTTTTTTCACGATTTTAACGGATAAATCGTTTTTTTTTATTTATGTTATTCATTGTAATTAGGATAAGTATAAAGACGCCGTAAAGTCATGTACAAAAGGTTAGGTTTATTACTGTTATGATTTAAGAAAGAATTCGCATGATCGATAAATTTTATTATATATAATATTAGCGCTTGAAGATTCTCCAACATATACGAAGGCTTTATTACGTAGAGCCCAATCTAATGAAAAACTTAATACCTTTTCATCATTAACATCCGCACTTGAAGGTTTGTAGTTTTAAATCCGTATTATTTCAATCAATTTCTATCACGCCCTCACCATTCCCATTCTCTTTTTACACATGACACTGCAGATTACAAAACATTACAATCAACATCTTCTCATTACTCAACCTTAAACTCACAAACCCGTAAACAAGTGAACACTTCAATTCAACGTTTACCTCCACAAATTTCCATACTACAAGAAAAAGAAAAAAATGAAATGATTGATAAATTAAAAGATATAGGAGACAAGTTTCTAGGCAATTTTGGATTATCAACTAAGAATTTTAAAATGGTGCAAGATCCAAATAGTGGTGGTTATAACGTTCAGTTTGTTAATAATACCGAGAAAAGCAATGATCAAAGAAATGAAGGAAATAGTGAGTCAGGGTCGTGATAAAGGTTTCGCGTAGAGGGGAAATATGGGATTGAAGAATTTTTGCAATCTTGCTTAGGCAAATCTTTCAATTTTTGATAACATTATTGCTTTCGTTGCTTTATTTCGTATAATAGTTGTAAATGAAGATTCATCATTGTACTTTCATTGTCTTTATACTTTCAAAATTGCACAAGGAAATAAAATATATTTATTCGAAGAAGTGACAAAACACGTACCATCTCTTTATACTTTCCATTTACTCTAATTGAGGAAGAACTTCAAATAAATATTGAAATTATTTGGTCAACCGTTTCATTTTGTTAGAACACAAAAATGGGTTCATAAGTTTGAAGATGGCAATTTTTTCTTCGATTCCTTTATTTCGAAATAACGCGCATAGGTGACTCATAATAATACGCGGATGGATAAATTGACGCACAGGAATGGGTTATCTCGCGACTATATGGTCATCAAATTTACATCAAATGAGTGCTGCCAAAGGAAAAGGGAACATCCAGCATTATACTATAAAATTTTTCAAAACTTTAATCAAAGATATCTTAACAACCACTTGACCAAATTTAATAAAAATTTTTTTATTTGAATTCTACAGTCTGTAGAATCCACATAAAAAAAAATTTATTAAATTTGATCAAGTGGTTGTTAAGATATCTTTGATTAAAGTTTTGAAAAATTTTATAGTATAATGCCGAATATTCTCTTTTTGCTTGGCAACACTCATTTACTATACACTCTATATAATAGTTCTTTTAGATAAACCTCTATATAACTAATTACTTTTCTTATACCTTATAATATTATACTATTAAATATACAAATTATTCTATAGTTTATTTTTATCCTTAAATTCACTCAATTAAATACTCTATTTACTTTTTATTTACTTTCTTCTTTTTACATTGCTTAAAGAAGTTTTAACTAAACCAACTGTAATGTCATGATATATACCTTAGGTTTTCTTTAACCTATTCTAGCAAACCAATTACCGACAATAATTAATTGCACTATTTAGAGAGTATAATGTCACATTGGGTGTCTATTACATAGTAGCACAAATGTAGTTCTGAAATTTTTAATGTAGAATTTCTTTCTATTTAATTAAATAAAGTTTCAACTATGACATTTACTAAAAAAAAAAATAAAAAAAAGTTTAGAAAAAAATTTAGACAAAATATAGAAATAGAATGTAGTAAAAAAATATAAATAGAATTTAAAGTAAAATTTAAAATAGATCAAATTTTGAAAATAAACTTTAGATAGAATTTAGGTAAAATTAGATAGAATTAAGATAAGATAGGATTTATTTTAGAGAAATTTAATTATAACTAAATAATTAAAAATAAAAAAATTAAATAGAATAGTGAAAAAAATTTAAATAAATATTAAAAAAAAAGAATTAAACAGAAAATAAAAAATAAAGTTAAAAAAGTAAAACAGAATATAGAAATATAGAAATAAATTAAATAGAATTCATAAATAAATTGAATGGAATATACAAAAAAAATTTAGACAATATTAAAAAAGAATTAAATGAAATATAGAAGATAAAATTAAAAAAAGTATGAAAAATAGGAATAAATTAGATAGAATATAGAAAAAAAGTAAATAAAATATAAGAAATAAAATATAAAAATAAATTTAGAAAGTTAAATAAAAAGTAAATAAAATATGGAAAAATTTAGATAAAAATTAAAAAAAACAAATAAAAAATAGGAAATAAAATATAAAAAATAAATTTAGAAGGTTAAATAAAAAGTAAAAAAACATAAAAAGAAAATAAAATATAGAAAATAAATTTAGAAGGTTAAATAATATAAAAAAATTTAGATAAAAAATAAAAAACAAAATATAAGAATTAAAATATAGAAAATAAGTTTAGAAAATTAAATAATAAGTAAATAAAATATAAAAAAGAAATAAAATATAAAAATAAATTAGAAGGTTATATAAAAGTAAACAAAATATAAAAAATTTTAGATAAAAATTAAAAAATAAATAAAATATAAGAAATAAAATATAGAAAATAAATTTTAAGGCTAAAATTAAAAGTAAATAAAATATAGAAAGGAAAAAAATAAATTTATAAAGTTAAATAAAAAGTAAATAAAATATAGATAAAATTTAGATAAAATTAAAAAATATAGAATATAAGAATTAAAATATAAAAAGTAAATTTAGAAGGTTAAATAAAAAGTAAATAAAATATAGAAAGAAAATAAAATATAATAGATATAGATTATAAATAATTCTTATAACTTTTGAGTTAACAAGAGCTCTGTCTGAGTCTCTAGTCTTAGTATCTTATAGATGTAAAGTTCAAATAATATAATTTCTTTATTTAACTTATAAAGAAGTTTAATTAAATTTTAATAAAGATAGAGCCTTAGCTTGAAGATTAAAAAAAATAAAATATAAGGAATAATTTAGAAAGTTAAATAAAAAGTAAACAAAATATAGGAAAAACTTTAGATAAAAATTAAAAAATAAACAAAAAATAGGAAATAATA